GGGATGTCAGTCAGTCAGAAGCCTTGCACCAGACGGTGCGCTAGCAGAGGTGGAAAATGAATCAAATGCGACACGATTGCACTGCCGACGCCCACGCTCGCGCTGCACCGCCCTCTGGGCGGAAGTACGCAGCCAGGCGAGCGGGCGTGCCGGCCACACGTAAACAATTGTTCATCACCATGTTCCCCCAGCTCTGTCGGGGCCGGCCTCTCTTCCTAGGGCCAGATGGCGCTCGCAAGTCAAAGCTATCAGGCTCAAAGACAGACAAACGCACGGGGTCCGTGCCAGGGCGTCTAACAAGCTTGCCCATGAAAATCATTTGTTGTTTACAGATTTGCTCGCTCAGAGGCGGCTGTCCAGCCATGCTTAGCACGGTGCGGTTTGAGATCCTGCTAATGTAAGAATGCGGGACGCGATAAATCTTTCGAAGGCATTGGGCTTGAAACCCATCTATTCTCCTGCGTTCTGCTTGGTTCAGACACGCAGCAAACAATGCATAGGTAAGTTTGGCCACGACGCACGCGTTGAAAATGCGCACTTTCTGTGTGCGGCTTAACGTGGAATGCGACCAAATTGCACCCAACACGTTGAAATCATGCCTGGCGGCGCCTAAACGCCGGCTGAGCTCCACCCCACTACGACCGTCTGCAGACAATTGGGTGCCGAGGTAAATCAGGCTAGATTTCTCTTTCACTGCAACGCCCTCGCTTTTGATCACATGTGCTGCACTACGGACGCGCATTACTTCTACCTTCTGCCAATTTAGGGTCAGTCCGTAATGTTGCCCGCACTCCTCTATGCATGCCATGATGCTTTGAATGATGTCCGGGTTGGTGTCGAGCAGGAGCGTATCGTCGGCGTACACCAGCTCCCTCACGAAATGGGGCTCTTCCACGTGCGGCACACGTTGCCGGAAGATGGAGTGCGCGTCCGTCAGCAAAGTGGTCATAACAATTGTGAACAGAAAAGGAGACAACGGACATCCCTGGCATATTCCAAAGTGTTGGCTCCGTTCAGCTGACGTGGTGCCAGAATCAGACACGACGAAACACCGGGATCGATACATCGATTCTACCATGTCGACAAATTTGCGCGGGCATCCGAACCTCAGCAGCGATGTCGCCAGGGCGGCGGGCGACACTGAGTCAAAGGCCTTGGCCCAATCCAGGGCAAGTAACAACGACGACCCTTGCTTTGTAGTCCAAGCATCTTCAATGACCCGTCTTGCGATAAAGATCGCGTCAGCTGTTCCTCGTCCAGATCTGAAGCCAAATTGTGTTCGCCATATTCGGTCTTCCGCTCCTGCGTCTTTCAGCCTTTGTAGCATGACCATGGCAAATGCTTTATATCCGATTGGGAGAAGGCTAATGGGTCTGTAATTGTCGCATGCCGAAGGGTCGCCCTTCTTATATATCATCTGAACTCTGGATTTGCGCCACGCGTCTGGCACACAAGTTTGCGACCACACAGAATTACAGAATCTGGCTATCCACGAAGACGCGCGTCTAATTTGGGTCCGCGCGTGGCGTCACTGTGCTGGGCCCCCCAGCAGGCCTCGGAAGTGGCGACAGTTTCACAGATCGCAGCCCCCCAGGGATGGCGAGGTCTAATTTGGGTCCGCGCGTGGCGTCGCTGTGCTGGGCCCCCCAGCAGGCCTCGAAAGTGGCGACAGTTTCACAGATCGCAGCCCCCCAGGGATGGCGAGGTCTAATTTGGGTCCGCGCGTGGCGTCACTGTGCTGGGCCCCCCAGCAGGCTTCGAAAGTGGCGACAGTTTCACAGATCGCAGCCCCCCAGGGATGGCGAGGTCTAATTTGAATCCGCGCGTGGCGTCACTGTGCTGGGCCCCCCAGCAGGCCTCGAAAGTGGCGACAGTTTCACAGATCGCAGCCCCCCAGGGATGGCGAGGTCTAATTTGGTCCGCGCGTGGCGTCACTGTGCTGGGCCCCCCAGCAGGCCTCGAAAGTGGCGACAGTTTCACAGATCGCAGCCCCCCAGGGATGGCGAGGTCTAATTTGGGTCCGCCCGTGGCGTCACTGTGCTGGGCCCCCCAGCAGGCCTCGAAAGTGGCGACAGTTTCACAGATCGCAGCCCCCCGCAAGCAAGACAGGAGGAGGCAAGAGGGAGACGGGACGGGAAGGAGGAAGTGGAGACCACACTGCTCTATTCAAAACGAATACCCAACCAAGGAGGGTTGGGAAAAATACTATCCCCCCCGAAAGTTGCACGAAGTGTAATTCGGAAAACGCCAGCCCGTCGGGTTTGGCAGTGTTCGTGTAAGACGGCGGCCAGCTGGGGGAGGAGGAGGCGGAGGATGGGGGAGGCCGAGGGGGAGGAGGAGGAGGAGGAGGAGGAGGAGGAGGAGGAGGAGGAGGAGGAGGAGGAGGAGGAGGAGAGGAGGAGGAGGAGGAGGAGGAGGAGGAGGAGGAGGAGGAGGAGGAGGATGGGGAAACGGAGGAGGAGGATCACGAGGAGGAGGAGGAAGAGGATGATGATGATGATGATGATGATGATGACGATGATGATCATGATGATGATGATGATGATGATGATGATGATGATGATGATGATGATGATGATGATGATGATGATGATGATGATGATGATGACGATGATGACTATGAGGAGGATGAGGAGGACGAGGAAGAGGAGGAGGCAAAAGGAAGAAGAGGAGGAGGGAGAGGGGCGGGAATAAATGGAGGCGAAAGGGAGGGCGATGGCTCCGGGAGCTGGGCGGCCAAAGGGGGGAAGGGGGGGGGCTTCAAGCCCCCCCCCTTTTGCACCAAGGGAGGGAGGGGGGGGGGGCTTCGGAAGCCCCCCCCCCTTTTCGTGGGGAAAGGGGGGGTAGCTTCCGAAGCTCCCCCCCTTTCCGGACCACGAAAAGGGGGGGAGGGGGGGGAGCTTCCGAAGCCCCCCCCCCTTTAGCAAGGAAGGGGGGAGGGGGGTAGCTTCAAGCTGGGGCCCCCCTTTTAGTCTATCGGGCCCCACGCGCACGCTCTATCCTTTCTGTGGAGAAATTCAACAGGAACCCTGATGTAAAGGATTTCGATGCGAATAGGAATCCTTCTGTAGAGACTCAATAGGAAACCTGCTGTGGATGGTTTCAATAGGAACCCTTCTGTAGAGGATTTCAATAGGAACCCTTCTGCCGAGGATTTCAATAGAAATCCTGCTTTGGAGGGCTTCAATTTCCGTGGTGGAGGATTTTAATAGACATCCTGCTGTGGAGGATTCCAAAAGAATCCGTCTGCTGAGGATTTCAATAGGAATCCTTCTGTCGGGGATTTCAATACGAACCCTTCTGCAAAAGGATTTCAATCTGAATCCTGCTGTGGAGAATTTCACTAGGACTCCTTCTGTAGAGGATTTCAGGAGGAATCCTTTTGTAGAGATTATCAGTGGGAATCCTGCTGTGGATGTTTTCAATAGGAACCTTTCTGTAGAGGAATGCAATAGTAACCCTTCTGCCGAGAATTTCAGTCGAAATCCTGCTGTGGAGGTTTTCAACACCAGTGGAGGATTTCAATAGAAATCCTGTTGTGGAGGATTCCAATAGGAATCCTTCCGTTGAGGAATTTCCAATTGGAATTCGTCTGTTTGGGATTTTAATCGGAATTCTGCTGTGAATGGTTTCAATAGGAATCCAGCTGCGGAGGGTTTCGGTCGGATTCCTTCCGTAGAGGACCTCAATAGGAATCCTTCAGTAGAGGTTATCAATCGGAATCCTACTGTGTGAGGGTTTCAATAGGAACCTGTCTGTAGAGGATTTCAATTGGAACCCTTCTGTCGAGGATTTCAATAGAAATCCTGCTGTGGAGGGTTTCAACTCTTGTGGAGAATTCGATAGAAATCCTGCTGCGGAGGATTCCAATAGGAATCCTTCGGCTGAGGATTTCAATTGGAATCCTTGTGTCGGGGATTTCGACAGGAATCCTTCTGTGAAGGAGTTCAACAGGAATCCTTGTGCAAAGGATTCCAATAGGAAGCCTTCTGTAGAGGATTCCAATAGTTAGGAATCCTGCTGTGGATGGTTTCAAAAGGACTCCTCCTGTACAGGATTTCAACAGAAATCGTTCTGTAAGGGCTATCAATAGGAATCCTGCTGTGAAGGGTTTCGATAGGAACCCTTCTGTAGAGGAGCCTACGTTGATCTCCAGAGCGAGCGGTTCAGGAGAGGGACGAGGAGGATTAGGAGGATCGTGCATATGGTATATGAAAAGGAAAAGGGAGGGGCGGGAGGATGAGAAGAGGGCCAGCGGTCACGGCAAAGAGCCGAAAGCGCCCCACCCTCATCCAGTCTGGCGCCAAAGCCTCGAGCATCGAACGTCGTGCGTCGACGGACCTCGTTCAAAATTCTTGTGACGGCGACGACGAACAACCGCCACCACCACGACGACACCTGCGGCGACGGGCGCGGCGACGGCGGCGTCGGCGACGGCGACGACCGCGACGACACACCCCAGAAGTCTCGACCGCCTCCCACGGGCAGTTTTCCTGCCCGGGTCGATGGCTCACGTTCCCGGGGTATCCAGCGGCCCCTGGATGCCGAAATCGAGGAAGTGACTCAATCGATCGATCCTCGGCGCAGTCGGCCCCTGGAAGCCGAAATCGAGGGAGCGACTCAAGCGACCGATCCTCGGTCGATCGGCGACGACGTCGACGTCGCCGACGGTGCCGTGTCTCGCTGGGCTGGCGGCGGCGGCGGGCGGCCCTGACGACGCCGCCCGACGCCGTCGGCGCCCGCCGTCGTCGCCGTCGGCACTCGAAGTCGAAGCCGTCGTCGACGTCGTCGTTGTCGTCGTCGGCGGCGGCGCCGCCGCCGTCGTCGTCGACGCGGCGGCGTCGTCGTCTTCGTCGCCGCCGTCGTCGCCGCCGTCGCTATCGTCGTCCACGTCGGCGTCGGCTGCGGCGTCGGTGGCGGCGGCGGCGGCGGAGGCGTCGTCGTCGTGTCGCCGCCGCTGGCGGTGCGCCACGCCTCGCGCCGTGGCGCGCGGGCGGGAGGCTCGCTGCTTGGCCTGCCCCCCGTGGCGTGGGCGGCGCTGGCGGCGGCGGAGGCCGCTGCGCTGGCGTGCCTGGCGGTGCGCCGGCCCCGGAACTCTCCGCGCTGCGAAAGAATCACGGCGGGAGGTTTCTCGCTACTTTCGGCCTCTGGGCTCCCGGGGCGGGAGGTTTTTCGCTATGTTCGGCCTCTGGGGTCCCTTCTCAGGCCTCGGGACCGAGGAAAAAACATCCAGGATGAAAAACGGGTCCTGGGGAAGGGGTCCAGACCTCTGGGGGTCGACGTTACGTTGTGAGAAAATCACGACGTCGGGGGTCTGGGGCGGTCGCCGCGTTGCTTCGCATTGCGTTGCGATGCAATCGGATTGCATTGCAATCGCAGTGCATTGCGGTCGCGTTGTATTGCATGGCAAGTGCACTGAATTGCATTGCGTTGCATTGCATTGCATTGCATCGCATCGCATTGCATCGCATTGCATTGCAATCGCATTGCGTTGCATTGCTTCGCATTGCTGTGCATGGCTCAGCAATGCCTCGCATTGCTTTGCAATGCTCCGCGTTGCTCTGCATTGCTTTGCATTATTGTGCATCGCATTGCATTGGTTTGCATTGATTCGCAATGCCTTACATTGGTCTTGCAATGATATGCATTGATTTGCATTGCAGTCGCATTGCTTTGCTTTGCATTGCATTGCTTCAACTGATTTGCAATCGCATTGCATTGCAATCGCATGCCATTGAATCTTAATCGCATGGGATTGCTTTGAATTGCATTGCGTTGCTTTGGATGTATGTGCATTGTGTTGCACTGTTTTGCATTGCGTTGCATTGCTTTGCATTGTTGCATTGCTTTGGATTGCATTGCAATCGCATTGCGTCGCATTGCATTGCTTTGCATTGCAGTCCCATTGCTTTGCGTTGCGTTGCAGTGTTTTGCACGGCGTTTCTTTGCTGTGCATTGGTTTGCACTGCTTTGCGTTGATTTGCGGCATTTTGCTATACTTTGCATTGCTCTGCACCATATAGACTGCACCGCATGGATTCGCCTTTCTTACTAAAAGTAAAGGAATAGAATCTACCACCCCCCTGCCCGGATGATCGTCCACCCTGGGTATGTGCAATGTACATGCGGTTCTGCCCCATTGTCCATTCGAGATATGAGTGAATACCATTCCAGCCAAGCCGCTATCGACAGCCATTCATCGTCGTCAAATGAAAGTGTGCGTGCACATTCGCTTTATCGAAAAGCATCAGTAAAACAAAAAACTTTGCAACACACCTGACGAAGTGCATCTGCGCGCGTCGTCGCGCACGCATCCCGATGTCCTGAACAAAGTGGTTTCGCACGGATTTCGAAATGGAGGCCCTCGAAAACATGTAACGAACATATGGTTTCTCATCACGGTGGTTCAACAAAAAGTCTGCACGGGTGCTCTTGCGAAGGCATGAGACAATCATAGTTCATTTGAGCATCCCCATCGAATGCGACCAAACGGGCCTCTCGCGCGCGCATATCGATATCACTCGAATGCCCTTGCGCGCGTGATGGGTGGGCACGATCCCTGCCAAAGAATACCATGTGGGCCACTCGCGCCCGACGACCGCGCGCGCATGCCGAAATCCTTCCAAAACCTTCCTCACCGACACGTGGGCATCATCATCGTCATCGGCGTGGTCAGCATCGGCGCCGTCATCGGCCTTGCCGTCGTCATCGTCATCCTCGTCCCCAGCATCGCTATTATCATCACCCCGTCTACCGTCGTCGACGTCGCTATGGCACCGCGCCCGCCCGAGCCACCAACTCGCACTTAAGTGCCCGCGCGTCAGCGAAGCCTGCGAGACGCGCTGGGAAGTCCCTAGCGGTCAGCGCCACCGCCGCCGTGTCGGTCGCGCCAGACTAGCTGGCCGCCCTGCGCGCGAGCCTGTGCGCGCTAGCGCGGCCGCCGCATGGGTTTTGCAAACCAGGTTGCGGGTGGGTGGGTGGGCTCATTGCGCGAGCACTGGGGTTAACAATTTCAAGTTCGGCAGGGGGAATCGCCCCACATAGACAGCACCACATTGAGTGCACCACGTTGAGTGCTCCTTTCTTTAAAAATGAATAACACCCCCCGGGACTACCGACCCCCATTTCGTATTGCAGTTTACATATGATTCTGCCCCATCGTCCATGCGAGCTACGAATTCGTACCATCCCAGCCCAACCGGCCCCCCCGCGCCGCCCTCATAGGGCCGGTCCCGCCGGACCGTCATCGCGCGCTCTCTCTCTCTCTCTCTCTCTCTCTCTCTCTCTCTCTCTCTCTCAGCCCAACCGGTATTGACACCCCCAGTCATGTTCTGTATAGAATACTATGCGCGCGCATTCGTTTATCACACATCATTTTTTCAAGAATCCCTGGCCAAAAAAGGGGACGAAGTGCGCACGCGCGCGTCGTCGCGCGCATGCCAAAATCCTTCAAAAGCCGTCGATGCCGTGAGGATTTGTCAAAACAACATCTACACAAACCGTATGGTTTCGCAACACGGGTTTTCAAAGAAGTTTGCGCGCGCTCTGGCGAATCTCAGCGAACGCCATTTGTTTTAACGTTTCCCAAACATGGTACCTAACGGGCCTCGCGCGCGTGACGTCGCGAGAACCCTTTGCAACAAGTGGGACGGAATGCGCCCGCGCGCGTCGTCGAGCGCGCATGCCTGAATCCTTCAAAACCTTTTTGATATCGTAGCGATTTCAAAACCGAGTGTCTAACACACATACAAAATCACATGGCTTCGTAACGACGTCAGTTTTCAAGAAATGCGCTCTTTTTGAGAAAACAGTTTTCAATGTTCATGAAATTCTGGGTTGCGTACGATCCGTGCCACAGAAAGGTATACGGGCCACTCTCGCGCGTTGGCCGCGCGCGCACGTCGAACTCTTTCCAAAACCTTCATGACCGACGTGAGAACGCCGTCATCGTCGACGGCGTGATCAGCATGGGCGCCCACACTGGCCGCGTCGTTGTCGTTGTCAACATCGCCACCAACATCGTTACTATCATCATTGTGTCTACCGTTGCCGACGTTGCCATGGCACCGCGCCCGCCGAAGTCGCCGATTCGCAGTGAAGTGCCAGCTGGGATGTGCCCAGCGGTCAGCGCCACCGCGGCCGCGTCGGTCGCGCCGCACCAACTGGCCGCTGCGCGCGCGCTTAGGTTGGCACGGCCGTGGACCAGCTAACGCCAAGCACCCATCGCAATCGCCACCGCGTGGGTTTTGCAAACCAGGTTGCGGGTGGGTGGGTGGGATGTTTGCAAGTTCGTGGGATGTGTCAACTCGTTTGCGAAAATCAATTGCACCGCATGGATTGCAAGAAATCATATTTTGGGGCGCGGTGGCGAACATTATATAGCTTTCGGGGTCGAGGATGGTCTTCGTCAGCTGCGCTTCGTCGGGTTCGGAGGTTTACTTGGCGTTTGTTGAGCTTTCCGTCGCTACGGTTGGGCGCAGTTCGAAACGTTGGCCAGGATGGGCTCCAGGAGACATCCCTGGCCATGATTGTGAACGAACTTTGGATGACCTCCTCCCCAAGTACTTCCACCCCCACTTGTGAAAGGCCGGCCGACGTCGCGAATTTTCATCACGTGTTACCCCTCCCTGGGATAGGTTGTTCGTCCAATCTGTTTTTTTGTCGCAGCCCCGGGGCCCGGCCAGCGGCCAGGGCTCCAGAAGGCCGTACATTGCTGGAGACTTCGCGTCTCGATTTATGCCACGACGCGATGGCGCGTTGGAGCAGCAACCCAAAACACGACCCGCGCCCTAGAGGACTTGACCATTTCCCCGGGGCCCGTTTTGGTCCCGAAACAGTATGTTGCGGCTCCGACGCCCGACAGCGGGCCCCGTAAGCCGAAATCGAAGGAACAACCAAGCGATTGAGAAATCATGTCGTCCTCTTCTTCGCCCCTCCGAGGATGTGAAGAAATCGCATGGTCGGAGGGGAAGGGAAGAGGAGGAGGAGGAGGAGGAGGAGGAGGAGGAGGAGGAGGAGGAGGAGGAGGAGAGGCCATGTTGGAGGGCGAGGACGCAGAGGGTGCGGAGGCTGCGGCCAGGAGGCGGCCGCAGAAGAAGGGCACGTTCGTCGTACCAGGCCAGGAGGAGACGGCCAAGAAAAAAAAAAAGGCCAGAGGACGAGGACGCGGAGGAGGAGGAGGAGGAGGCGGAGTCAAGCGAAGACCTCCAAGGACCAGGTCTGAGGGATTGCCGCTCCGCGCTGGCTCGGGGCTGGACACACACACGCACACACACACAGACACACACACACACACACACACACTCGCACACCAGACATCCAGCGTTTCGATTTTTCTTAAGACATGGGCCCCCGACCTCTCGACCACTTCCCCGGGACCGGCTTTTCATCCCGGGTTGTTTTTTGACAGACGGTCCCGAGGCTTGGTGAGGGCCCTGCGCGGCCGAAAACGATGGACAAAAACTCCGTCTCAATTTTTCTGAGACGCCGGATGTTTGGGACAAGCGCCCAGGTGTGGGCAGCGCGGCGCCAGAAGTGAGGCCGTAGGGTGTCGCGCATGGCGTCGAGCAGCGGCTCGCCCGCCACCCCCAACCTGGCGCGCCAGCCGCCGCCGACAGCGGCCGGGCAGATCCCCGCGGCCTTCGCAGACCGGCACCCGCAGACCCGACGGACCGACGGACCTCACCTCCTCACGGCAGAGAGGAACAGATGAGCGAGCAGGGGGAGCAGTGAGGAGAGGGAGGGGGAGAAGGAGGAGGAGGAGGAGGAGGAGGAGGAGGAGGAGGAGGAGGGGGGGAGGAGGAGGAGGAGGAGGAGGAGAGGAGGAGGAGGAGGAGGAGGAGGAGGAGGAGGAGTGAGGAGGAGGAGGAGGAGGAGGAAGGAGGAGGAGGAGGAGGAGGAGGAGGAGGAGGAGGAGGAGAGGAGGAGGAAGGAGGAGGAGGAGGAGGAGGAGGAGGCGGGAGGAGGAGGAGGAGGAGGAGGAGGAGGAGGAGGAGGAGGAGGGAGAGGAGGAGGAGGAGGAGGAGGAGGGGGGAGGAGGAGGAGGAGGAGAGGAGGAGGAGGAGGAGGAGGAGGAGGAGGAGGAGGAGGAGGAGGCGGAGAGGAGGAGGAGGGAGGGAGGATGAGGAGGAGGAGGAGGAGGAGGGAGGAGGAGGAGGAGGAGGGAGGAGAGGAGGAGGAGGAGGAGGAGGAGGAGGAGGAGAGGAGGAGGAGGAGGAGAGGAGGAGGAGGAGGAGGAGGAGAGGCGAGGAGGAGGAGGAGGAGGAGGAGGAGGAGGAGGAGGAGGAGGAGGAGGAAGGAGGAGGAGGAGGAGGAGGAGGAGAGGAGGAGGAGGAGGAGGAGGAGGAGAGGAGGAGGAGGAGGAGGAGGAGGAGGGGGAGGGGAGGCGGAGGAGGAGGGGAGGAGGGGGAGGAGGAGGAGGAGGAGCAGGGCAGGAGAGCAGGAGCAGGAGGAGAAGGAGGAGGAGCAGGAGGAGGAGGAGAAGGAGGAGGAGGAGGAGGAGGAGGAGCAGGAGCAGGAGCAGGAGGAGGGGAGCAGTGAGGAGAGGAGGAGGAAGAGGAGGGGAGGAGGAGGAGAGGAGAGGAGGAGGAGGAAGAGAGCAGGGGCAGGAGGGGGGGGGAGGAGGAGGAAGAGGAGCAGGAGGAGGAGGAGGAGGAGGAGGAGGAGGAGGAGGAGGAGCCGCCAGAGGCAGCGCCAGGGTGTTGAGACCGCCCCAAGGGGCCTGTTGAGGCCAGCTGGGGCTACTCCGGGGGGGCCTGTTGAGCTGGCCAGGACTACCTGGGGGGTTATCAGCCCGAAGCCTTATTTACCATCCCTTTACCTCCAACGTAGAAGCTGAGTTTCCTGAGATCCTGGCGTCGCGTTTTGCGTCGCATTTTTTCGCATCGGGCGATGTTGCTTGTTTCGGGCCCCCGAACCCTCACAGACCGATCCGTCCCGGAAATTACCGCAGAAGGATGGGGTGCATGCCCCCGATCAAGATTTCTTATTATTTTGTTGCATTGTTTCGTAACGTCGGATCTACGTAAGGGTACGGAGGCTTTCACAATTCTTCTGTTTTTGTTGTACTCTTACTGGGCCCTGGGGTATTCAAAAACGACCCAGGACGAAAAATTGGTCCCGGGGAAGGGGTCCAGAACCTCTGGGGAACCCCATTGCAACAAAAGTCACAACGTCGGAAATCTGGAGGCATCCCAGCTCGGGCAGGAGCAGGTGTGGTGGATCACGCCGCTCTCGCCGATGCATGGCACAGCTGGCCAGGTTGTCCAGAACGGGTCTCGGGGAAGAGCGAGTGAACTTGCATCTATATGACGGGAAAACTTGCGAGAATGAGGAGGAAGAGGAGATGAGAAGCAGAGAGAGGAGAGGAGGAGGAGGAGGAAGAGGAGGAAGAGGAGAGGAGGAGGAGGAGGAGAAAGAAAGGAGGCTGCGCACCAAGTTCCACTCTTGTTCCGAGGCGCGTGCGTTTAAGCTCGGCGCCGCGGCGTCCCCTTTGGTCCGCGCAGCGAACCACGGCCTGTCGTGTGGTGCGCGATCCGTTCCAGATCATCGCATCGCGGTTTCTTTTGCCAGCCTCCGCCCCGTCTATTCCCTCTGTCCCTCCTCCGCGATCCTCCTCCCTCCGTCTCACTCCTCGTCCTTCTCAGCCGTGCCCAACCGTTCCTAATCCATCCTCGTCCTAATCCACCCTCATTCCTCCTCCTCATCCACCTTCCTTCCCACTCCTCCTCCTTCTCCTCCTAATCCATCTTCGTTCCTCCTCCTCATCCATTCTCAGTCCTCCTCCCTTCTCCTTCTCCTCGTCTGTCCCTCTTTGAATCATCCCCCCCTGTCGCACCACCAGACGCGTGCGTAGGCCAGACCAGACGTTTCGCTCCAGACGTCATTCAGATTATGTCGTGGCAGTTTGTCTGTGAGGGCCCCATGCACTGCTTCTGAGGCCGTGTGTGGTCCCTTCCGGATCTGGAATCGTTGGCTCGCGGCTTTCCGTGTGGTCTCCCGTATGGTCTACATACGGCCCTCCGGATCCGGATTCGGTGGGTCGTGGTCTGCCGTGTGGTCTCCCGAACGGTTTCCTGTAGAGTTGTGGTTGATCCAAAAGGTTGTCCAGCGAAAAGAGGGTGGCGCAATAGATTTGGTGCAACAGATTTGTGGGGTTGTAATAGATTGGGGCGTGCAATACATTCCGGTGCGCACATGCGCTGCTGGGATTTCGCGTGTAATACATCATATGCAATACAACGCAGTATACAACACAATTCTCTGGCGCATTACATGTGCAATACAATTGCCCACAACCTATTGCACCACCCCCTTTCAGCTGGACCCCCTTTTGGGTGAACCAAAGGAGTCTCTTCTATAGTCTCCGGAAGGGTCTTCCATATGGTCTCCCGTACGTATGGTCTGTCTCTTTTATGGTTTCTTTCATGGTCTCCCTTATGGTTTCCTGTATGGTCCCACGGTCTCGTTTATTGTCTTTTGTATGGTCTCCCATGTGGTCTCCTGATTGGTCTCCCTTAAGGTCTCCCGTATGGCCTCCCCTCAATACTCTCTAGAACACTCTCTGTGCTACTCTTCATTGTCTCTCGTATTACGTATCGTGTCTTTATTTGGTACTCTAAACTGTTGTTTCGGGTTTTCTGTCGGCACGACTCAATTACCTTGCTGCTTAAATGCTCAAACAGCTCCAAGGACGAAGGGCGGGTGGTCTTCAACATGCGGGTGTCGCCTCAGTGCCGCGTACATTCTTCCACGCGGACTCTTGACACGGACGTCGCCTCCAAGAGGCATCGCGTGATTTACAGAGCCACGGTGCATATTTGCCGGAAGTTGTTGTGATGTTTTCTGCGGTGGTGCAGATTGGTGTCGTTCACATTTGTTTTGGCATTTCGCGAAGGGTGGAGGACGGTTCGCTTTCAACATGCGGTGACTTTTTCACATGGGGCTTTCGCCTTAGCGACGCGCTCATTCGTTTACAAGGAAATCAGCTGCTACAAGGATGGAGGACTGTTTCTTTTGTTTTCAACATGGGGCACTCGTTTGAGATTTCGCCGAGTTCACGATCTAGAAGTACAAACACATGTAAGCTGATGTACGGCTTCACCGATGGAGGGCGGTTCCTTCTCAGATCATGGTGCCGCCTCAGACCTCCTAACATTCACGGACAAGACGTAAGCTATTTGCCAACGATATCACGCATGGGGTGGCGGTTCGTTATCACATCAGGGCTGTCGCTGGACACCTCGTTGAACGTTATGATACCTTTTCGCAGTCCGTTCACCCGCCAGAAGGATGCAAGGCACTTCCTTTTTTAAACGAGGCTCCAGTGCCTAGGACCCAACTGGCCCACGCACTGCTGCGCCTATCTTTGGCAGTGCAGTCCGGCAGTGCCGGCGTGACCGGCGACGTCTCAATTGGAGGGAGGGGGGTTGGCCCCAATGGTAGATGTTGCCACGATGCCCCTCCCGCTCACCCCCACCTTTCTTGCTCGTTCCTCGTCCTCCTAATCCTCACACCTTCTCACGACTTCGCTTCCCCCCTCCTCCCCCCATCTCCTGAACCTCGTCCCCCCACCCTTCTCCCAGCCTCCTGAAGCTCCTCCTCATCATCCTCCCGTGCCCTCTTGGCCGAGCAGGCGAATTCTTTTAAACCCGAGACGAGTAACTATAGCCCCAGCGCGCGGCTTGCCAGGAACGCCCGCTGTGCTGAGGATTGTGCTGCCCGCGTGCTCCCTCGCTGGCGCCAAACTCAGCAGCGGGTGCTGCCTGCCGCTGCCAGCCATGAAGGTGCCAAGATAGGGCAGGGTAGGGCTGAGGATGTGCTGCGATGTGGGGGAGGTGCGTGGGGTGGGATCTGCCATCGGGAAGCTCACGTGCGTCGTTCACGCGGGGTAGGACTTCGCCCGTGGCCCTGCAGCCCGAGGGAGCGAAGGGGGGAAGGACCCCGAAGCCAGCGTGCATCCTGTCTATCGGACGGCTTGCACGGCGGTGTCTGCTTTGAGTCACTCTGCTTATGTCGGTCCCAAGGGGGCCTCAACACGGCCCAGAGAGGATCTCCAGACGGACCCCGAAGGCGACAGACGGCTCCGAACACGCGCAGGGAGCCCCCGAGAGGTCTCCTCTTCCTCCTCCTCCTCCACCTCCACCTCCACATCCTCCTCCTCCTGCTCCTCCTCCTCCTCCTCCTCCTCCTCCTCCTCCTCCTCCTGCGCCCCCAAGGGTCTGTAGGCTGCGCATAGGCAGTGCCCCCGAGGCAAACCCAAACCCCGGCTGACCTCGGCAGGCTCCTGGAGCAGCCCAGGGCGGTCTCACCTGGGGCCCTGGAGACCAGGACGCCGCAAAGAGGAGGATGTTGTCGGCTAGACGTAAGAGTATGCAATCCTTCGCTGGAGGAACCCCTGGTGCGCGGCTTTTTCGGGGGGCACCTGGGGGCCAAACCCAAGCACCCAGGCTGCTCATGCCGCACCGCGTGCAGCGATTGCCACGCCGCGCAAGAAAGGGCACCCTTGCCCATGGCCACTTTTGCATGTAACTGATTTTGCCAGAAAGGATCATGTCTCGACGCACGGGCTGCAGCTGTCCCACGTGTGCCGACGTCTTGGTCTATCAACGGCACGGCCCAAGTTGCGGTGCCCCCCGCATGAGGGGGAGAAGTTAGAGGCGGCGGGCCTCTCAGATGACGGCGGGGCTTCTGAGAAGCCCCCCAGCCTTCTGAGAAGTCCTGTGCGGCTTCGGGGAAGACATAGGGAGCTGAAGGCCAGAGGCCTTCGCATCGAACCCCCGTCGCCCATTGATCGCCTGTGGGGGCCCGATGGCCCGCCCCGCCCAGGAGCCTGCGGAGTCGCTATCGGGGGACTCGCCGATCCATCGGCGATGTACCGCCGATTCGAGCTCGATGCTGCCCCCCCCCTAGGCTGGTCCCCCCCTATCAGTGCCCCTCCTGAGGCTTGGAGAGGCGGAATGGGGTAGCGGATGGGAGTGATGGTGGTCAAGTGGGGTTTGTGGGTGGCCTTATGCGGCACCGTTGTGTCGAGACCGCCTCTGGGCTTCTCCGGGAGGGGCCTGTTGAGGCCAGCCTGGGCTACCTCGGGGGGGGGGGCGTGCTCCACGCCAGGTCTTGCCAGGAGGAGGAGGAGGAGGATGTGAGGAAGAGGAGGAGGAGGAGGAGGAGAGGAGGAGGAAGGAGGAGCAGGAGGGAGGGGAGAAGGATGGAGGAGAGGGATGGGAGGGAGGGAGGAGTGAGGGGGAGGTGTCGTATAGGGAAGAGGAGGGACAAGGGAGGAGGGAGGGGCAGGGCAGCGCAGAGGCAGGATGGGGGCGGCAACAGGAGCGGCAAGGCTGCCGCGCGGAGGGCGGCACGAGGGGGACGGCAGCGAGGCACGAGGAGGAGGAGGAGGAGGAGGAGGAGGAGGGGGAGGAGGAGGAGGAGGAGGAGGAGGGGAGGAGGATGAGGAAGAGGAGGAGGAGGAGGACGAGGACGTGGGATGATGATGATGATGATGCTGATGATGATGATGATGATGATGATGATGATGATGATGATGATGATGATGATGATGATAATACTGATGCTGATGCTGATGATGATGATGATGATGATGACGCTGATGATGATGATGATGATGATGATGATGATGATGATGATGATGATGATGATGATGATGATGATGATGATGATGATGATGATGATGATGATGGATGATGGTGATGTGACGATGGTGATGGTGTGGTGATGGTGATGGAGATGGTGATGTGATCATGATGATGATCATGAGGATGCTGATGTGATGATGCTGATGATGATGATGGTGGTGATGTTGATGGGTGATGGTGATGGTGATGGTGATGATGCTGCTGCTGATGCTGATGCTGATGAGATGGATGATGATGATGAGGAGGAGGAGGGGAGGAGAGGAGGAGGAGGAGGAGTAGGGGGGGGCGTGAGGTGGAGGCGTGGAAGCGACAAAGGGGGAGCACGGCGCACCCGCTCTTCATCCTCATCCCCCTCCCCTCCTCCCCTCCCCCTTCCTCCTCCTCGTCTCATCGTCCACCCTCCTCCTCCTCCTCGTCCTTGTCCTCCCTCGTTCCCTCCTCTGCCTCATCCTCGTTCGTCCCCTCGCTCTCCTGATCCCCCTGCACCCCCCCCTCTTCCTCCTCCTCCTCCTCTCCTCCTCTCTACTCCCTCCCTCCTCCTCCTCCTACATCCTCCTCCCTCCTTCTCATCCTCCTCATGCCTCCTCCTCCTCCCTCCTCCTCCTCCTCCTCCTCCCTTCTCCTTATCCTCCTCGCCCTCCTCCTCCTCCTCCTCCTCCTCTTCCTCCTCTCTCCCTCCTCGCACGGTACTAGTACCCAGAAGCCGTTCCAGAGCGCTGCCTCGCTACGGGATCGCCGCCATGCATCGCGATGCGGCGTTGACTCGCCCGCGCTAGCCATGGCCGCGGCGCACGCCGCAGGCTTCGCGGGCTGGTGGCGGCACTCGCTCATCGCGCTGGCGGCTTCGGCGGGGACCTGGGCGCTGCTGCAGAGCGGCGCGCATAGCCGCGTCGTGGCGTGGTTCCGCCTCACGATGTGACCCGGGGGCAGAGGGAACGGGCCCGACCACCTTGTGTTTTGGAGGAGGATGCGGTATGTTTGTGTCGTGTCGAAGCGTGGAAAGCCGCCAGCGACCCAGACTTGGTCGATGCTAAAACATTCGACGTTTCGGAAATTGCCGATCGTTCGAGGTTGGGCGGTCCCCGCGGTGTGAGAGACCAACGCCGCAGTCGGCACGACACGAACTTGCCGCACCGCTGCCGCTACTCGTCCTGGAGATCCCCCGTCGCCACGGCCGCAGTCGCTTCGAAATTCTGGTCAGAACGCGCCGCGGGAGAGGTCCCGGGAGTCGCGGCAGCGGCACCTGTTCGTTTCCCCGCCTCGCCAGACCTCTTCGCGCCGTGAAAAAAAAAGCAGCGGAAGGTGATCGGCCGCGGCACAGAAATCAAGGGCACCAGCGCCGCTTCACTTCGTGCGAAAACGAACCTTCTGGAACGGGACCTTGCTGCAGCTCCCGACAGGGTCGGGAAGGCGCAGGTCAGGCCATCACGGCCGCAAGAGGGCGTCACCCTGGCGTTCGCCGAGGAGCGAGGAGCGGAATGCACGCATGTGCCTTTCCCGGCCGCCAGCCAGGCAGATGCCTTCCCCAGCCACCCCGACGCTGTGGCTGGGAAAGGGGAGCGGAGGGGAAGGGGGATGGTAGGGCCGGGGGCTTCTCCTTCTCCTCCTCCTCCTCATCATCATCATCATCATCCTCCTCGTCCCACGTCCTCTTCTGTTCACCCGCTCCTTCCCCCTTCCCCTCCCTGCATGTTGTTCATATTCCTCATCATCTTGATCACCATCACCACGGTCATCACCATCAGCATAGTCATCGTCGTCATCATCATCGTCGCTCGTCATCATCATCATCATCCTCATCATCATCATCATCATCAGCAGCATCAGTGTCACCATCATCAGCATCATCA